CCAGTCCAATTTTCATGTTCATGCGTAATAGATCTAGCGGGGCGAACTCCCTTCGCTTCCTGGGACTCTTCAAGTGCCGCATCAGCGAAGAGCTTTTCACTTCCTACAAGTGCCGATGAATGTTTTTCATCTCGCAGTGCTTCTTTGCGTCGAGAGTCGGCGGGAATACGCTGGGGAGTGTGAAGTGAGGACGATGAGCGGGAAAGCTTCCCTGTTTTGTTGAATGTAGTCCGGGCTGTCAGCATTGTGGCAAAGCGGAGTTCTGACAGTATGGCAACTGTGGCGCCACAATCGCACGAACCTCGCTCTTTTCGGCGGAGCCAATCGAAAGAACTAAAATTTATCAAAGTGTCCTACACGTCTAATACACTTTGAAACTTCAAACAAAGTTGGGTTTTACAAAAAGATGACCACGACAGGGCTCGAACCTGCAGCCTTCTGGTAGCGTGGCGATCGAAGCCAGATGCGCTACCATTGCGCCACGTGATCCTTCCGTCTATTCGTAGGAAGAAGACTAAAGAGCCGACCAGAAGGGCTCCGAGTCTGTCACCACGACCAAGACGCTCCAGCCGCTCGTCGGTAGAATTCTGTGAGGTCTGCGCATAAAACGAGCAGAAGCATTTTCACCACGTGCGGAACGGTGACATTGGCACCTTTCGCGGTTCTTCGAATTCAATTCGCGACGCCAACCACAATGGAACGACACTATGGTCATCCCTAACTTAACATTGCCTTTGGACATCACAGGCTGTCACCATTCGGTGTTGAATGCATCAGCAATTTGGACCAGGAAATTCAAGCTCGACCGATCGAAGTTCTGATGGTCAGAAAAATGTAATTGGGGAATGCCTGTTGGAGTTCGGTAAGGCTAGTAGCGAATGAAATTTCTCACAGAAAGGTACTTGTTCCGAAAATGAGAAATGTGGCAAGCGCTTAACCTGTCTATTACTGTAATTTGCACATGTTCACATTCCTTTCAGGCTCGTACCTCAACCACAACATCAATCGCGGCCCTCCATCAACCTCAAGACCACATTTGATATAGACTATATCGTTGAACAAAACTTTCCTTCAACGGGTTTACGGATATCTCGCTACTATTATTCCATCCTCGAACATCTGCTGCCAATGTCTATATTGTCAATAGACAGTATTCAGTTTTCAAAACAAGGCAGGTGTTACTTTTTTTTGTCAGCAAACCGAGATATCAACTTACATATAGAAGTAGTGGCAAGGCCAGACCGCTCGTGGACCAACGCGGTCTTCTCGGAATACGTACGTCGCGAAAGACCTGCCATGGTCGAGAAACGAGTGCGATTTCCGTTTTGGTTGAGCATCAAGAACTGTGTCGCGATCCCTGGAGGATGTGAATTCTGGCACGGGAGCGAGGAGGCTACATACTATCTCAAAATTTTCGGACCCCCGGGAACTATCGCAGGCGACATCTTACGGTGTGAGCGGGACCTCCCCACGGAGTATTCGGACGTTGACCGAGAAATCATTGGGGATATTGTTCGCAAAACAAGCAGAAAGGAGCCACCACCAGATGAAGATCATGATCCAGACTTGGAGGATTGCAGTGAAGAAGTCGCCAAATTACCCCTCATCGATTGCGATCCAAATATTCATTTCAGTAAAACCCCAACGTATAAACAAGAAATACGGAACCTGCTACTTCTTCGGGGCTCACCACGAATTGTACAGCTCCTTGGAAGAACAAAAGATGGAGCGCTTGTGTTTCAAAAATACCGGCACGATCTTTCATACACTGTTTCGGCCAATCGTGACGAGCGTCGAGTCGAGAACATTAAGCGATGGATGATTGAAGTCATCGATGCCGTTGAAGTCCTTCACTCTCACGGAATCGTCCATCGCGACCTTGTTGTGCGCAATATCCTCGAGGCGGAGCCTCTCGTCATCTGCGATCTCCAATGCTTAAATGCAACAGGACATTGCAGGGCTCCAGAACTCGACGGGATTGGTCAAAGCATGTTCTCGTTCGCGAGTGACATATTCTCCCTCGGGACGCTGCTATGGGAGTGCTGCTTCTACAATTACCCTACGAACCGTCAAGTTCTCCTCGACAATCCACCACCTCCGCCCTTCCGTGATATTTTCCTAGCATGCACACAGGAGATGTCTGAAGATAGACCCACCCTCTCCCAGCTAAGGGAAATGTATGTCGCCGTATAAGATTAACATATCACTCAGTCATTTGTAAGGTCAGTCGTCGTTCCGTACAAATGTCCCAACACTGATTGTTCTCGTAGTATTCAGCAGTCCTTCTGACTGCAAACTGAACGCAGGTTTGCGGTTTCAAAAGCGGATAGCGGGTATAGGTGAGGCGTACATTCGTGAAAATCACACCACATTTCGTTCCACTCTGTTCAAATCGAAGGACTCTTTCTGAAACACTTAAACACTCTTCTTTCCCCCCTTTCACTCGCCTGTTCCTCAATTCTTCCTCCTACTCATAGAAAATGAGCTTCAAGATACCGGAAATAATGACGTGAACTCGAGAGAAACTGACCCGTTTGCTGGATCGAATAGTGTCACACCTCACGAGAAGATATGTAGATTGTTGTCGCAACAGCTGATTGTTTCCTCGAAATGATATGACCATTGTCATGTGCGTGCTCGCTTCTCGAAAGCTCTGACTCTCTTCTCGCCATGTCCAATTCTTCTCAACCGATCTTCAATATCAATGAATTTACCACCGACATCAACAAACTTGATCATCGGACGGTTTTCATTGCGACCACTTCGAGCGTAGACAACGCCGGGTCTTGGACGGTGAGGTGACCAACGCGTCCGTCCAGTGAGGATGAATGGTCCAGATTTATACGCTCTTGCTTCTTCCCGTGACCTTCTCTTTTCCTCGTCACCTCGTTCAATGGAAGAGGGCACTACTGGGGACTACGGTGCAGCAGCTCATTAGTACTCGCTTCGCAAATATGTACGCTAGTGGTTACCTCGTGTTCAGCCACAGGTTCCCAGAACAGACGCTGATATCGATCACGAGTACTCTCAAACCCTTGGTCCTCATCTTGCTTGTCGGCCAATTTTGACTCCCTTTCAGATGCTTCCTGCGAGAGTGTACGTGTTTGTGCCAATAACATTTCTTCCATACCAGCCAAGAACCCGGTCTGGAGTGATTTATTCTGGCAAGCAAGTAGATAGTTAGAACGGGGTCGTACACCGGGGAGAAAAAGATGAGGGAAAGTCAGATGGGGTTGAAAACGGTTTGAACCAGAACCAAGGCGATGTAAGGCACCACAGGTGTCTTTCATTTCGCGAATGAATAATAGACTCATCACCACACAAAGCCATTGAGCAGACCACAGTGAAAACAGTGTACATACCTCCTAGAGACGGGGACAGTCCGACGCAGCATCAGTCCCCTGAATGAGTCGAATTCCGCGCATGAACGCTTACCTGACAAGAAATAATCAGCGATCGAGAACAAAACGTGTTTACTATATGTTCAGCGAATAAAAGTTGGTATATAACCATGTGTTTTGTGTCTTCAAGACTAATCGTTGTCGGTCATCATTATGCGACGCAACTACCTGCATCGGAGGCAAATAAAAATTAGTACCAACCTCTTTCCAGTGCTCCTCAAGTCCTTTAAGCCTCAAAATGGCATCGACGCGTTTCAAACTGATTCCGTACGCGCTCGAAAGCCACCGTAAGGTCGACCCTCTCATGAAACTATGATAAATAGCATTCTTGGTCTTGTCTGATAATGGAGGCGAGGGCTGAACGAAGGATTCAGTGGAAAGGGCTGCAAAAATGTGTCACTTAAAACAGGGACTGCAAGGGATGCAGCACAAGAGGCTCACGACATCCGTTCCTAACCAGTTTGGGCCTCTTCGCGGGTCTCGATACTTCAATCCTTCGCCGCGAAGCCACGGCTCAGCGACCGGTTTATCAGAGGGGTCTCGGCGGGTTTTCCTCCGATACACTATTGCTTTACTCTCCCCTCCTCCGAGATCGGATTCATTTTGACGGTCAGGTTTAGGCTCCGAGTCGTATCCAGCCTCCGGGAGGAAATAGTAGAGAAAAGGGGATACGTGGGGCACCTATTATTTCCAACGTTGGAGTCAATCCGAGCGCACACACTCTCCTTCCCCCGTACTCTCTGCTCGGATTAGACCCAACGGAGACTGGTTACGAGCCTAGGTCAGGTTCTTCACCTTCGTTAGATCGCGAGGAAGAACTAGCTGAAGGGAAGGAGCTGGGCGGACGTGTTGAAAACAATCGATAGCCGTGGCACAACCCAACTTGCTGGGATGAGAAAGGACGCAACATCAACAATTTGAGGAGCGCCTCAGCGCGAAAAATTTCAATGCTAAAATTCCACGTGACTAGTATATAGGGCAGGTGGAACTCGTCTTCCACGCGAACCTTCATGAATGGAGATTTATTCCATCTGCTGCGGTCCATTGTCCGTCTCCTACCTGTTGGACTTATTAGATGGCCTTCCGATACGCCGGGCTGTGCTATTCAGGCATAACTCATTGACAACATTATACTCAACACGCATCTTCAATTATATCCGCCATCTATCGGAAGTCGTACTACTGCGCGAGCGTCAGTCTGTAGTATATTTATTCTGCATCATTTCTCAAGATATACGCATACAAGTTTCTGGACTCAACAAATCGTTGCACACAGATGGTGCGGTGAAGTGCCCGTTACTCAAACTATGGAATAATCAACTTTCGGCTCTGCAGATCTGCCCGTGCATATTATTCACCACGCTGGTTGTTGTGCGTATGTCAGTGAAGAATATCGCCTAAGAGTTGAAAATTTACTCACAGTTACCGGCACCTTGCCGTGAGTCTTGGTTCCCTTATGTTTATTATGGTTTCCACTCCTAGTGGTGCGGGTATCACACCAGATCTGGCAAACTGTCTCCGGTACTGTCTTTCCACCACCACCACACTGCGGAAGCCATGCGGTCTCGACCGTTATGTTTGCGCTTCCCAACACCTCCTCTTCCGTGGTTTCCCTCGTGATATTCTTCCTGCCTTCCGTCCACTCGATTCTCTTCACGCCGCCAGCAGGACCATCCGCAAAATAAAGCCCTAGGACCGCTACGTCACCAATAATTTTTTGGAACTCGGAAAAGAGATCTGGTGGTGGTGTTGGTGTAGGATTTGTGGTGAATTCGAAAGGTTCGCCACTCTTGAGCCAGCGTTCCGGATAATGGTCAATCGGCGACGAGCTGTCCCGGGGCTCACAGATGTTTCCTGTCGCGACCATTTTCTCCCCAATATCCAACTGGCAGTGGGCATGTACGAGGCATACACCAAACTGGTGGTTGTACTTTGAAAGGAGTGGGGCAAGTTTGGCGAAGATCGTATCGCGGTGTACGAAAAGGTCGTCCGCTTCACCTAAAGTGGGGAGGCTGTTGTACATTTCGACGTAGGTTGACATAGTGACAAGAAGGACCAATGGTTTGGCAAAATTGAGGCGGGGTGCTT